AATTTTCATGAAAAAAACCCTTTGTATTTCATTTTTAATAGAATTATCATCCAAAAGGAAAAGAAAAATTAAATAACTTTTATCAAATGGTCTAACAATAGTTTAATTAATAGAAATTTTTGTTTTCTATTTTAATCTAAACTGGAGTTGTCAGAAAGGAGAGAATCTGCATGATGTCTGTATAAAAATCAGGGGTACTTTCGTATTAGTGTCACTGTGCAGCCAAGTTGGTGCCACATGAATCGTGCCTTGGCATCAGAACAGTTAAGTTTTTAATGTGTTTATCCCTTCATAATTACCTTGCTTATACATCGTTATATCATGTATAATATTACATATTTTGTCAAAATTTTCACCTTTTTCCTGAAATACTTAATATTTTATTAAACCTGAGCAAAAGGAAAGAATAATAGATTTTACCTTATAAATTTGCTTTCAAATGTAGATACATTTTATATCAATGAAATTTGAAGAAGAACAAATTTGCTTATTCTAATTAATGCAAAAATATAATGCAATTAATAAGTATTTCAACAATTCTTTTAAAGAAAATAAAAATTTTGTTTTTCATTTCCTGTAGGAATTTATGCTCTGCCGTAAAGAAGAGAATGATCCTAGAAAATGTATACAAGAGGGAAAAGACGTTACTGCATGTGGAATTGAATTTTTTCAGAAGGTGAAACAACATTGCAAAAATGAATTTGAACAATATGCTGATTGTCTAGAATGGAACAGTCCTGCTATGCATGTACAATAGTAAGTGTCTTTTACATTTTTATTTGCTGAACTGTATAGAAAATAATGGTTTACTTACTACAGTTAGTATTTTAGAAGTTTCTATTCGTATAATCAAGAAAATGTTTAGAGTTTTTACTAAAACTTGATATGCAGTATAGACAAAAGAATTCCTATAATGTTTGATTTTAATATAAAATATTGAATATCAATGAGAGACAGAATAGCACACCAGCAATTAATCTAACTTAACAAAATGAAGGACTTGTGTGAAATTCAAAGACAAGAAAAACAGGTTTGAACTTTCTTCTATTATTATCAATAGCTTCAGTTATATGTTTTACAATTCAAAAAATATTACTTGATTCCACTTTTTATATTAGAAATGTCAACTGTGTGTTTTAAAAAAGGAATTATACCTTGAAAAAATTCATAAATCTTTTCCTAGTATATTCAAAATAATATCAATAAAGTGTAAGTATCTCCAAAAGTGCTCTTATATCAATTAAAGAACATTTTTCTTTTAATTTCCTTTCCATTTGACTTCTGAAAAGCATTCAAATAAGAAATTAAATATGTTTTAATAAACCCGTGTTTGAATACCATTCTCTTTGTGTGTAAACGAAGCCAATTAAAATGAATATGAAAAGAAAGTAAAACTAAGTTGTTTATGACTATACTTACAATTTATATCGGTAATTATAAAAAATATTTTGATTGTAGGTTTGACCATATAATATTGAGCATTCTGATTTTATTGTTCTTCGAAGAATGATCAGTTTTAGAGTAAAAATTAAAATATGTAGAAATTACTCCTAATTTTGAATTGGAATAAATCCAAATAAAATATTTTTTAAAACAAATATTTTGTTTATGAAAGAACTAAGATTATGGGTAGTATATTTTGATCGGTTTGTCATGAATCTTAATTTTCAAGTGATCTATCCTTCTTTGAAATTCTTTTAGTTTAAATATCCATGTGATTTTTATATTATTATTTTTTTTTAATTTATTTATTTATTTACATGTGAGGGGGAAAAAACTTTCATTTGTATGTTTTTTTTTTTTTTTTTTTTTTTTTGTAACTAATGATGTTAGTGTAAAAATTCATTATATAAATGTATCCTTTTATTGTATAAATTCTTATTCTTTCTTTTTGGGTAGAAAATATAACTATTCTTGATACTTTTCTGTTTCACTGGCGCAAGCGATAAAGTCACCAAAAATTATACAACTGACAGCAAACAGAATATTCCCTTTGGTAATCTTTTAACAATACATTTACAAAACAAGTCCTGGTCTTTTCTTATCAATAATGTTTGTTTGTTTTTTCTATAATATATCAAAAGTTAATGAAAAACCAATGAGAATTAATATTTATTAGTATTTTTTATGTGTATATTGTGTGTTGCCCCCTATAACACCAAGCTTGGCAAGATTTGCGCCAGCAAAACGGAAAAGTACCCTATTCTTATGTTTCCCTTATATGTTTTATGTGCATTTTCTTGTATCTTTTGTTTATATTTACTTTTTAAAATATAATTTTCATTTATAGTTGTAGAAAAACACAAGCAGTGTTGGACAAATGCATGTTAGAGAAACTTAATATAGAAAGACCATACTTAGGATATTTTACTGAAATCCGAACACACAAGACAAATCGTCCTCATCCTGGACCTCCTTTGCCTCGCAAAGAGTATGTTGATGACAGGCCTTCTCTGCCTCCTGATTATCCAATTGAGGATGCAAAATTTGGCTCTGCATGGTTCATTTATAATTAGAATATGATTTAGGATATATTTACTAATTGTCAAATAGTTTATACATCGATACTGCTATTGTACCTATGCAGTGAGGAATGGAAAATTCATCAAGTTATTTACAAAATAAAATATTGTTGGATAAAATGTTGTTTATTGTAAAGTTTCACACTGTTAGGATCTGATTTTAGAAGAAGGTTAAATCAATAGATTGTATAGCCTTTCAAAATCTAAAGTTAAGTTTAATCGATCGGCTTTTTTTGAAAAGTTGCTTAGTGGAAACTTTTCCTTTATTGATTTTTTTTTTTTTTTAATTTTCTCTGTTTATAATTTGATTGTTTATCTGTTCTGACATTCATGATTCTTTTTTATTATTATTTCATCTAAATTAAATGTTAGAAAAATTTATGGTTTTCAGATATTAGAGAGAAAAAATTTTTAAGAATTTTCTCAGAATTCTTTTTTTAAATAGTATGTAATGGGATAATAAGTGAATCAATGGAATCAAATATATCTATTTATACTTGATAACACTTTAAAGCTTAATTTAAAAATTATTTTATATATATTTGAAAAGAAATCTACTCAAAGCCCAAAATAATGACTGCTTCCAATATGAAACATGCAACTAGTTATGTTTTCAGTTCAAAATTAAATCATTGACTCTATGAAAGACAATTTAACCCTCCAAGAGCGGTCTGCACATAAAATTCCGCCATTCCAGAGATGCTTTTTCTGCCTTCAAGCAAGATTCCCAAAATCGGCCCAGTCGCATTCTTAAAAATACAGCTCAACCGCTTTTGAGAACCCCACCTGAAAGCAAAAAAATATGTACTGTGCATTTTGAAGCATCTCCAGAATGGCAAGTCTTTAAGTGCAGACCACTTAGAGGGTTAAAGGGGGAGGGGCATGGAACTTCCTGCCAAGAAAATCTGGAACTGATTTATTTTAAGTGACAAAAATATCTTTAATATTTTCTCTGGAATGATAATTTTAGTCCTTTTTCTACAAAATCTAGAAAAATATTTAGCTAGAATATGAATGAAAAATGTAAAAAATCTTTCGTTTAACTTCTTTGAGGTTGCATAATAATTTTCGTTATTGTTTTATAAGTGATTCTAATAACATTTTATATGAATTGACATTTTTCTGAGTTTTGTGAAATCATTTTAATGAGTTTTTAATATTGCTTCAAATTGATGTCTTTAGTTATCTATGGCAAATTTATTCAAACTGTATTTATTTGCCATTTATTTTCATGTTTATTTCATTTTTAGTTTTCTTGCACAAAGAAATAAATTGAACAAATTTATGATAAATGAATACAATTTTTATGTGTAAATGTGCTTTTTTTCCCCTGTATCTGGAAAGATCTTTTTATTGTTATTTTGAATATTTAAATAATTTATTAAATATTTAAAGAAATTATTAGATATCTGACAGTTGGTATATATAAGGAGTCCATACCCTACACACAAATCTAATTGTTTCATAAAAGTATTGTTTAAGAAACAGTATTTGAATTGTAAACAGTAGAAATCTGAACTTCTCTTTTTAAATAAAAAAAAAGAAAAATTCTGCATTAACTATTTATATTCATCTGTTATAAAATATATTTATTACATTTATTTACATAAGTTATGTTACTTTTTTTTATTCATCATCATATCTGCCAAGACAGCCCCTTCCTTTGAAGTTACCTCCACAGGGACTTCTCATTCACCTTCATTCTCCAAGTTTTCTCATTTATAATCTTAACGTCTGATTCCACTGAGTCTGTCCATCTCAGCCTTGGTCTTCCATGCTTCCGAATCCCAGTGACTTTAAACTGCAGTATCTTTATGACAACACTATCATCTGGCATTCAAATTATATGGGCATCCAATTCATTCTACTTATTTTTATGTGTTTAGTGATGTCAGGTTGCTTATAAATTCTGTATAATTCAAAATTGTTACTTCAGCGATTTTTACTGAATTTTTTTCATAAATGTCTCCATAAATTCTTTGAAGAGTTGAACATATTTTTATTACTTAAGAGTCTTTCATATTCTTCTCTTTATAATCCAGATAGCTTGGAATTTCATAAGATAATTATTTTTAAGTCAATCTTGTTTAAGAAAGTAAAAATGTTACCTCTAATTTTATATTGGAAGAGTTTTTGTTAAATTATGCCTATCGTATCGCTTAGGTTAAAAAATTGAGTAATTTTTACTAGCTGGGAAAGTTGTGTGGGACTTTTTCAATTCCTACTATTAGTTCACTTTCTCCCTATATATATTTCTTTATTTATACATATATCTTGTTCAAATTTTTAATCATTAGTAAAATACTTTCTATTTATCTATTCAAGTTAAAATACATTTTTTAAACTTGTAGTGGAGGAAACTTGATGTTAATACAGTTTTTTCAAATATTAATTCATTAATTAAATTAAAAACTGAATAAATAGTAGCAAACAAATAATAGTCCAACAGCATATATAGAAAAGAAAGTCGTTGTTTGTGTCCCTGTAGCGCAATTGATAGTGCATTGGACTTCCAATCCAATGGCCTTGGGTTCGTATCCCACCTGGGATGGCCTAATTTCTGAGGATGTGATTTCTTTGTTACTATACTATTTTATTAAAATAATTACATTTAATGAATGAATAAATAGTAACAAAGAAAAAAATAGTTCAACACCATATATAGAATGGAAAATTGCAAGAAAAATCGCTTTCTATTTGCCACTTAATATTGTGATTCTGTCATATGTATTTACATTTTTTTTTTTTTTTAACTATTTTATAAAAAGTAACTAAAATAAAATTTTTCTTTGTTGACCTAAGTAGGAATTGACTTAATTTTTTTTTATATTACTTGTTTTTGTTTTTTTTCCAAGATGCTTATACTTAAAAATATATCATTTGTTATCACTTTCATCAATTGCCTTGCGTGAAAAATAGAAGTTCATAAACATTTCTATATAAACACTTTGGGAAAGAAAAATATGTCTAATATTTTTTCCTTGAAATAATTTGTCATATATATATATTAGAAATTTAAACAAGAAAGCAAAAAAAAAAAAAAATTTTTTTATTTTTTTAAAGTTGGTTTTCTTTTAAATTTTCAAAAAAAAAAATTTTTTTTTTGGAAATTTTTTAATGTTTTATGGTTTTGCATTGTTCTTGTTTAGTTTGTTTAACTGCATAGTTTTTGTGTAATTCGTTTCACTAAAGATCTCTGTTAAGTCTTTCATTGTGTTGTCCCTATAAAAGTGCAATATCTGCAAATATATGCAATATACTTAACTAAGACTAAAATTTCCTGGGCAATTATTTGGGTAGTTTTATTAAAAGCATAAATTGTGTTTATCATCTATCAATAAAAATGGAAAAGCTAGAAATCATTCACATGCCTGATTTCATCAGTATTGTGCTCAATTTTCAAGAAAAAATTTTTTGCTTAGTTTATAAAGGAAAACTTGCATAGAAATGTTAAACTTTTTTTTTTTTTACTTATGATATATTTATCACCATGATATACAAGAATTTATTTAAATTGGTCAAATTACTCAAAATTTTGAAGTCTATGTTTATTTTAAGAGCTTCAAACAGTTTATTTGTTATTTGGTTACTTTGACATATTTTTCAATCAACCAATTTTATTATTGCAATTGCATTTATTTATGTTTCATACATAATTTTAACAAAGCTTAGCAGACTTAATAAAAATCAATATAGTAGCACATCAGAAACATAATTGTCAAAGAAAAAATATATGCGGAGTTTATTGAAACAAAACTTTTAAAATGCAATTAAAAAAGTAAAAGTACTTTACAGCCGGTAACTGTAGTTTTTTTTTTTTTTCCCAATTCTGACCAATTGCCCAATGATAATTGTTCCTGCAAATTTGGACTTAGTTCTCTTCTCAGCCAAAAAGATTTGTAAGCCAAAGGAGATTACTTTTTCAAAAAATAGGAAATGGAAGTGACATATTTGGAAATAAAAATAGATGTCCCTACATAAATCCAGAAGATTCCAGGATGATTATTTATCGAGAAAACTTTAGAAGGTTCTTTCCCGTCCATATAAGGATGATGCAAGAACCAACATTTGACAGCAACTATGTTTCATTTGCCTCTTATGAAATTGTGATTACAATGTTCAATATTTGTGTGATTTTTTTAATCTTCATTACTGAATTTGCACTATTAAAATTCGAAGGTAAACAAACATATCCATGTGAGGTTATCTTCTCACGAACCACTGAACGCAGAAACACGCCGATGGTACCAAAAGACGGGAAATGATCCGAGGAAGCCATTTGACCATTTAAATTCCGATATTGTAATTAATTAAAACGATGTTAATTAAAAACCTGTTTCCGACACCAACTTCAATTCGTTTGCATTGTTGTAACAATATT